GGATCTCATACACTGTCACCTTGGTCCTACGCCGTCCTCGGTATTCTGTGCGGATGATGTAGTCTTTCGTGATCAAATCACGAGACGTTACATTCACACAGTCCTCTGGCGTAGACAACAGTATGTCCCACATAAAATAACCTAGTCCTTGAATGATCTGTTGAGGTTTAACCCCAAGGAATCCAGGGCTTTTAACACTGTACCTTTCGTGCATCGATAAATCTTGCTCATTAGCTTATCGAGCACAAAGACTGACACTGTTCTTTTTGTAATGCGCTCTTGTGCATCGAGGTCTACCAAAAACCCGACATCGGTAACCAGATGAGCGTACTGTTTGGCTCTCTCAATAAACTCCTCCACATGAACCATTCATTTCGGCGTGGGGTGGACTCCAGACATAGGTTGATTCTTCCGCCGCTACACCGCTGACTTCGGCCGCCATGCTAGTGCATGCATCTTTTGTCCTTTCTTTTATAAGGGTGGGTATATTAGATTTTCCCTTATAGGACCCAACTTTAGATGTCTTTTCCCTTTTCGGTTGGGGAGGAACAGCCTCATTAGATTTGTATGCTGGATCTGCCACTAAGGCAGATCCAAATAAGTTTTTCACGGTTCGACTCTTGTCAGCCATCGTGTGAATTGTTCTTTTTTAAGAGGTCCAAAATAAAATTCTTTTTTGACAGGCCACAAAGTTCAAATAAGGAAAAGCAGAAACGAAAACAAAATGCAAACCAAAATATGCAAAACCAAGTCTGACGAAAAAAGAAATGGAAACAAAAAATTAAATCAAATTAAGCCGCAGCTGAAAGAAAGTAACAAAACTGAAAACGAAAAATGTAATCGACCAAAAATAGAAGGAAACTTCGTCAAAACAGAAATAAATTAAAAAAATTTAACGGAGGTAATTTCCAAAAATGGTCCTCGTGTAGTCAAATGCGCATCTTATTCACTTAGATTATTCAGGAAAAAGTTTTGATCCGGGAGAAAGTTGCAAATTTAGGTTTTAATTTAAACAACATAAGAATAACAGATTTCACTACTGGGCAAGGTACATTAACAGCATAGTTAAAACAGGTACTACCTTCTTTCTTTTTTATGTAACAAGTTCTTTCAGAATGTAGGCGATCATGGCTCTCTACCACCCTCTATACCTTGCAGCTCTCGACAAGTTCATTCCCTCTGCTTCCTCCCCCAGACCACGTTCTGTCATTCAATGTTAAAGCCCGCCAGGTATGATACGCGTTCTTTTCCCTTGTCTCTCTTTCCCTCTATTCTATATAGTGTATCAGATTCTCCAGTCCCCCTTCCTCATTATGCGTCCCAAGAAATTTCAGCCTCCTTTTCCTGATGTTAAGTATAAGCCTCCTCCTTGTTTGCATCCTCTCTAATACCTCATCGTTGCTCACTCGTTTCAGTCCATTATATCCTTAGCATCCTTCTGTAGAACCACATCTCCGTCGCCTCGAGTCTCTTCATCATCTTTGAGGAAATCGTCCAGCATTCGCTGCCGTAAAGAAGGAAAGATGTCACGTAACAGCTCAGTATTCTTTGTTACCAAAGAAATCCTGCTGTCTTGCAATACTCTGCCCAACTTTTGGAATGCGTCCTTGGCCATCCCAATACGTCTACGGATCTCAGTGTCGCACTTAGCGTCCTCTGTCAAAACGCTTCCCAGATATTTAAACTTCCGCGTCTGCTTGATTCTAGTATTCCCGACCTGCAAATCTTATTTCGGGCTTATCCTTTTGCATTCCGTCTTCTTGTAGTTTATGCTTAGTCCTTTCTTCTCACTCTCCGTCGCTACCTTCTGTAAGAGATTTTGTAATTTCTTTCTGTCTGCTACCAGTACTGTGTCATCTTCTGTTGTTAAGATTGTGGCCACCAATGCTAAATCTCGGTAGGGTTTCCAATTCTCTCAGAATTGCCTCGCTGCATAGCTTGAACAGGTCGGGTGAGAAGACGCATCCTTGCCTTACGCCCCTTTCTGTTTTTGTATATTCACTGAACTCGTTCCCTGCATGCTGTTTGCTGCTACTATAGGTTCTTGATTATTCTGATATCTTTCCCAAATATATCAAGGTTGCTGAGCAGTTCCATTAGATCCTTGTGGTGTACTTTGTCGAAGGCCTTTGCGTAATCTATGAAACATAGGTACACGTCCTTCTGCATTTCTATCGCTCTTTCTGATAACATTCTGAGAATATCGCGTTCCTTGTTCCGGTGTCTTTAACGAACCCGCATTATTCTTGTCCTATCTCTGGCCTGATTCTGCTGCATGCTCTATTCATCAGAATACGGATGATGAGTTTTGTTATATGGCTCATTAGAACTATTGCTCGGTGGAGTTCGCATTTGTTTGCGCCTGGTTTTCTAGGCATAGCTATGAAAATAGATCTGCTGAGGTCTTCCGGTATATCTCCGGTGTTGTAGATTTCATTTGTTATTTCGGTGATCTTGTCTATGCCAAAGTCATCTAAGGCTGTCAGCATTTCCGTTACAATTCCGTCTGGCTTGTTTCAGTTCAATTTGACTAGTGCGGCTTTTACTTCGGTTTTTAGAATTCCAGGTCTGTTGGTAGTTCTTTGTATTACTGGTTGTTCCCTTTCTTTCGTCGTGGAAGTGCTGAAGAATTTTTTCCTTCTCTGATATGAGCGTTCCATCCTTTGATATATCTGGTTATACTAAGGTCAAAGTTACCGAGGAAGACTTGTATTTAGTATAATAAATAAAACCATTGTGGTGCTTAACTTGTTTCATTAAAAATAACACTTTTAGGATCAGAAGTAAAAAAAATTTTGAGTGTTGCCAAATACTTTTAACTGGTAATGTATATAAATAAAATATATGAGAGAGACTGAGACTGAGACTGACCTACTCCACTGATAAAAAAAATATTAGTTTGAATTTCTTTCTAAGGACGAAAATCGTTACATAGAAGTTTTTCCTCCGTTTTGTCGATCATTCAATCTCGCGTGCGCGCTTACACACACACAGAATTTTTTCACGGATATAACCTGATGCAAAAAAAAAGTTATGTTGTTCTCATACGATTTTTCTTGTTAATCTGTTTTGTTTGTTTATTTACAGACAGAAATTTTGTATTAAAATGGAAAATGACTTGTAACTCGTGTTTCAAGTCGACGGACAAAAAAAGTAATTTAACATTTCTGTCGTTTCTTTATTTAATTTTCAATTTTGTCAACAGAATTCGTATTAGTACTTTTATTCTTTTCTCTAGGTGGGTCTCCACGTTTTATGAACACATGCGAATAAATAGTTTCAAAATACCATGTGTTATATTCGTCCTTGTGACAAAAAAAAAGAAAGAAAAAGAAAAATGAGGACGGCATGAGCTTTCCTCCCCATACACCTTCCACTAAACTCGATCAGTTAAGTTGCCGGGAAATCTCTCAGAAATGACAAGTGCTTCAGGTGGCGCTGACAAATTCACGTCCGTTTTATGAAGAAAATAGATCAGCACGTCTCTTCAAAGAAAACTCGTTGCCCAAATAACATCAGATATGGGTGAGAGAGGACAAATTCATGAGTCCACATTTGAAGATACGAATGAAACAAATACATATAAATTCCAGTCAATTGGGTCATTAGTTAAAATCGTTGTAGCCGCATATTGGAGCCAAATCTCATACAACCCCAACCAATCAATAATTCATCATAAATCGAACATAGGTACCTACAAAGAAAAACTAAACCCAAGGTTTAAAGTGAATTTCTTAAAAATGAAAAACTTTTTCTGAAGATTTTTTATTATAGTTTTAATTTCAAGCCAATGGATTAAATTTAATATTTCCAATAAACAAAATACTTTGCTGTATTTCAAAATGAATTTAAACTGATTGGGATGAGTTTTCTTTTTTTTAATCTGTAAAAGTCACTGATTTTAGCCATATTTATAATTCTCTCGACACGAAAAAACTTTCAAAAATAAAAAAATACTTCGCTGAAACTTTATTTGAGAATGATTAAACTTTAATTCAGTTAATCTATGTGATTTGAAACAAATAATACTTACTTCTAGTTTAAAATATTGCAGAAAAACTTTTTTTAGCATGAAGGTGGGTGCTTTATGAGGTATCGACAGCTCTATTGATAGCCTGGTGTTTTGGAAATTTAACTAATGTTTTCTATGGTGGACATATTCGTAAAAAATTACTGGTCTTTTATTAGTTAAGCTTGATCGCATTTTGTTTTCAGGTGATTCACAAGGCAAATGAAACATGTCTGGAAAACCCATTTCCCAGGCCTCACTTCTTCATTGCAATAAAAATTTTACGTTTTGTCCCTGCTAATAATAATTGTCTTAAGCAAAGAAATTGAAATATGCAACGTTTGAATAGCGGTTGTTATTCCGTTTTCAAATATTCAGCATTACATTCCGAACACTCTAATTAGATCGAGTTGTAAATAATTTTCGTTTTTGTTTTTCTACCACTTTCAAATGGCCGTGGTAATTCCCATGGGTCTATCCTGGTCAACACGGCACCAAATCTACCACTTCGTCCCCAGCCCCTCAACCTCCGGCGTCTTCCTCTTTGGGTTGAGGTGTCCACTCGGACCGAACCGAACTTAGGGGTAACTTGCCGTACGCTCCCTGAGTACCCGTAGATTATTTCGACCGGTCAACTGGTCAAGTCCTGCTTGCTGCCCACGCTGTGTTAGTTTTTAGATCCAGTAAGCGGGGTGTTGTCCATACGTTCACGGTCGACTGGGGATGTGGACACGGCTGTGAGAGTTGGCGCTAGGAAGTTTAGAATGTGGCAAGATAAAACAATAAATAATATCTGAAGAAGTCAGACAACAATGGGGGAAATAGTGACGTCTTTTATATAAGAAGATAATCATCAGAACAGAGGTTACAGGGAGAATAAAAACATTTAACATAAATGAGAAAAGAAAAAGACAAAATGCATTCAGCGAATTCCCAACAGAGAGAGGGTTTGTGTGTGATAAACGCGTATTGAATCGCCTGGGGTAGATTTATGACTAGTAGTCCAGTCTCATACAGACTTCTCAGAACAGAGAGCAGTCTTCCTTCTCGAATTCTCCCGCAAATCTCACGTGACTCTCTCGACGACGGTCTCGTTCCCCGACTCTCTCTCTCCCGTCTGTTTGTAGCACCGCGACCCGTAATGGTCGCCTACGGGTGCTCACGCACGTGCCGACCGATCGCGGTCTCTCCCGTCTGGCCTCTTCCGTCTCGCTCGACCGTCGGCTGCCCTTCAGCATAACTACGCTGGTTTATATAGATAAATTTGTTTGATCATGAATCGACCGTTGGCCCGGCACGCGATTATCATGAGTGCCAAAAACTATCCCTTGACATGTAAACCGATTCTCCAATTATTTACCACGAGTTCTTCTCGCTTCACCAACATTATACTCTGGGATATCTAAACATTGATTCAACCTTTTAATCAAAACAAATACTGTTAAACAAAACCAAATATCTCGTAGCGTGAGTAAGCTCTATTTCAATTTTTAACCGATGAATTTTATTTAGATCATTTTTTTCATTGTATTTTCTAATGACCCAGATTTAAAACATCGCCTCCTGCCCTGAGATCGTGTTTCTCATCGGTAAATACACATCTTAACCCAAATTGTACTTTGATATATAAACACCATTTCCACTTCCAGTCAATAAAAGTTATATTTGCGTGTGTGCATTCATCTGAGTGTGTATGTGTGTATACCTCTCTCTGTTACATTTTTCCACTTTTGTATCTTTTGAAGAATAAATAAATTTTATTCAATTATATATACACGCCATTATTTGCAATTTGATGACACTTATCAGGCAGATCTTTTATACGTTTTGAGTAGAATTCCTAAGGTTTAGATATTTAAAAAAATTTTTTCGATGAACTCTTGAATCTGGTTTTCATTAAAGAAAGTTTTATTTGTCAAGTACTTTGCAGCGATGAGGAAGGTGAGAATCGGTTCGTGTAAAAGTCAGGCGAATATGGCAGGTAGAATAATACATACCAACTGAGTTCTAAATTTTTTTCCTGTATTATTTTTGCAGTAAGTAGTCCTGTGTTGTTATGGAGGAGAACAACATTTTCCTTTTAATCCACTGTGTACGCTGCCACTGCCATACAAAAACTAACGTATGTTCCAAATTTCTTCTTAATAGTCACGTATGATTAGTAGTTAGGATGATATGAGCCATGATGATATGTGTGTCCGGTGGGATCTGTAACATCTGATCAGCTTATATGCACCAGGATGACAATACTTGAATTCAGGTACAGCAAAGACAAAGTATAGTTATTATAATGAAAATAACAATTTTGACATAAGGCCGAAGGGAAAGTGGCGTGGGACTGATCTTCACCAACTATCCTAAGCCCAACAAATCTGATTCACGGCCCGTTCATTCAACCAAAGAAAAAAAGCAATCGTTTAGAATGTCACATCTACTAATTGTATTTCCCGACCACAACTAAAAATTTCATGTTTTCACGCAATTAACAGTTAACTGTTGTTTTTTTATTTATTTATTTTTTTTCTTAAATTTATTTATTTGTGAAATTTGTATTCCTCTCGGCTAGCCCAAGATGTTACAAGTGTAGCTGATGTTTACATAATATGCACACGCCAACTAAATTCACCAAGGCCGAATGCCCATTCAGCCAAGATGGAAATGACTAAAATCACAATTACTTAGACAGGTAGGGAAATATGTAACTATATATTCGACCAAGATTTTATAGTGTTGCGGATGTGTGTGATGTGTGTTGGAGAGGAATAGAAGGTTTGAATTATCAGAAGGCTTAAAATTGTGTGTGTTCAATTATCTTCCAATCCACAACAATTAATACAAGAGATAGAATGAAGATTCATAAACATCTTGTTTCAAAACGTAATAATTGAATTTATTAGTGTTTGATGATATACATGCATGAATACTGAGTGAAAAGGTTAGAGTTGTGTCTCTTAGATTAGGTAATATTTGTTCATAAAGTGAAAGTTCCTGTTACTGGAGTGTTTCCAAGATAAGTTAATATCCGCGAAATCTATTTCAGCAAAGGGGAGTTAAACGAACCTCAATAACTTTAATGGAAGATGAATATAATTAAAAAAAAAAAAAAGAAAGAAAAAAATATATATTTTCTCAAAAATGGCATTTTAAGAAACTATAGAAATTTCCCTCTTTCAAAAAAAAAAATAAAGTAAACAGACTTCCTTCGGGGCACCGTCAGAAAATGTATAGATTTAGCGTTTTGAATAAACTTTCTGTGAATATATTTTATGCTATTCCATGAGAACAAAAAGGTTTCTTCTGAGAATTAACTTGGCACTAAATATGTTATCCGAGCCGGTTACAAATAGCGATTGGTTCCTCTGAAATTTAACACTTCGCTGTGCTTTTCACAGCAACTACACAACAAAATGAATCGTCTCATTAAAAATGAAACTATGCATATCTCTGTAGTAGGAGAAACGTTACTCCCGTCAAGGAATGTTGGTTTATGGCAACAAATTTATTATTCGATAACCTCGTGTGTGTATATATATTAATACACAAGTGCCCAGTAATATCAAAATCTAAAAAGCCTTTTTTTCTTTGTTTTGTTTTTTTTGCATCCAAACAAGTAGTAGCCTCCGCCATCAATGGCCAAGTATATACTTTACTACTTGTGTTTTTTGGGGTTTTTTTTGTTCTATAAGAATATACAGTAAAAGCAAAACGATTTCTATTCACCCGCGTCAGTAGTAAAGATAAAACCGTTTTCAGATCAAATAATTTTGATTCTTGGAAGTTTTTTTTTTTTCATTTTTTACTTTAAAAATCGGAGAGCGTAGTTCGAATCCCGGTCGAGTTCGTTACGTTCACTTTCACAAAAGTACTCTTCGGGAAAGGCATGAACTCATATCTTTTACCACAATTTCATTATTTGTACATTTGGAAACAAATGGAACCATGGTTAATGCATTAGACCAAAAATTCTTCCAAATATTCATCATATTGCAATCCATTGTCCTATAAAAGAGACTGCGTTTCTGGAGGTTCCCTCGTTGTCTTACTTTCAGTGCCCCCTTCAAATTTTGAAATAGTCAACTAGAGTAAGATCTGGCAATGAGTGGAAGGTTCATACACTCAAACCACAAATTCTTCCAAACATCCATCAGCTTATTGTATTTACTCATCTCGGAAATGAAATACCAAAGTATTAAAAAGCTGTACGAAGCCGCCATCATCAACAAATGCGAAAAAATCTGACATTGAATATAAAAGGCTCCAAAAAATGCATCTCAAATGCCTTTTGTAGCGTAATGGATACAGGAGTTGATTATCTCTGTGTTACTGTTATCTATTGGTCATGAGTTCTATTCTTCAATGAGGTTGTGAATTCAACAGGAATGAACAATAATTGACATCACAAGGACAAAATATCATAATAATCAACACATATCTCATATCAGCCAATATAGCTGATGATGACCTGAGGATACTTGGTCAAAACGTTGTATCTATAATAACATCTATATTAACCAAGATGTGAACAATAGTTCAAAATAATACAAGAAATGTTGACATTTACTCATCTCGGAAATGAAATAGTAAAGTATGAAAAGCTGTACAAACCCGCCATCATAACCAAATGTCAAAAACCATTGAGCATTGAATATAAAGGCTCCAAAAACACACCATTAATGTTCTTCGGGACGGTGGCGTAGTAAATATAAGATTTAGTTATACATGTGCTGAAGCATAAATTTTGGAGGAACAAACAATAACTGACATCACGGACGAAATATTACAATAATAAAAAATGTCCCATATCAGTCAGTCAGTCAGTCAATGTACACCTGATGATGACCAGAATGTCCTTGGTTGAAATGTTGTGTCTATAATGACATCTATATAAAACAAGATGAGAACAATAGTTCAAAATAATAGAAATATATTAACTATTTAGACCTTCTGAAAAATAATCGGTCATCAAACTACCTTTGTCCCCCAAATCCCTTGTCATGGCCTTTCCTGTTGACTTTTTGATTTTGAATTTCTTCGGCTGTGGAGGACCTAAGTGTCACCACTGCATGGAGAGTTGTTTGATTTCTGGATCATAAGTGAATTGCTGAATAAATTTGAGACTTGTTGATGTTGTTTTTGTTTGGCATTCAAACATTTTGGCAATTACTTGATTGACACTTTCTGTATATCTAACTGCTTAGGAATTCTAAACCCAATCCATTCCTTTGATGGCTCTCGTGTCCCAGTAATTCTTTTGACCAGGATGTCATCAGTCAGCCAAAATTAGGTCATGAACATGATTAACAATCTTGGTCGTTGGCATTGTTAAAGACCCCCTAAATAATGTTGCATCTGAAATCTAAAAAAAAAAACCCTCTATGCTGGAAATTGGTACAGCACATCCCCACAGATGATTATGAAGCCCCCCCCCCTTTTTTTTGACTCCATGCTTGCTTCATATTTTCATTTGGAATTTTCTTAATTGATGACAGCCCGGACTTGACACATGAAAAATTTCACATTATATACTGACATTGTTGAGTCTATGATCTGAAATTTAAAAATTGCAAGGCAACTGAAAATTGTCATATTACAATATAAACTAACCTTCTTTCCGGCTACAGGGAAATCGATCAGGCTGAGAAATTTTCAGTACTATCTCGTAATTAAAGAATGCCTGTTTGGGGATGAGTGGAAATCATGAGCTTCACAATATATTGGTTGTTAGCTTGAGTTTCGCTTAACGCTCTATAATCGCACACATAAAGCTTGTGTGTGTGTGTGATGGATATGATGTTCTAAAAAATGATTCATTCGAAATTCTCTTTTTTTCTTAACATTAAGCGTCTTCACTGAGATAAAGTGATCCTTTCTTTTGTTTCAGTTCTAACTTCATCTTGCAAAAGAATTTTTAGTATGCAATATTTCCTTACTTCTCTCTCTTTCAATCTCTTTTTCTCTCTCTACCCTTTTTTATCTACCTGTCTACTTTTTCTATCTCTCTTTTTCCTTTTTTTCTATCTCTTGTTTTTTTCTTTCTCTTCTTTTTCTATATCTCTCCTCTTTTTCTCTCTTTCTCCCGTTTATCCTCGTTCTTGTTTTTTCTCTCTCTCTTTTTTTAATTTGCTCTCTTGCTATTTTACTCTCTCTCTCTAGTTTTTTTCTCTCTCTCTCTCTCTTTCTCTCTTAAGCTTTCAATGTCATGTTTTACTTTTAATCAAG